AAATGATGACCAAATTCTGACCAATAATGATGTTCACTGGTATTTGAGGCATTTATATCTGGAATTGGTTTTGAAAAAGATTCAACCCTGCAAATATAAAAATGAAAATAAAATATTATTCAAATAGACAATTAAATAATAATAAAACCTTGATTAAAGCTTACAATGGGAGCATAACTCGGTTCAAATATTTTTTTATTTTTATTTGATCTTTGTTATCATTTTCTTTTTCAACTCCCAGCCCTTCCGTGATACGAATCCAATCAAATACACTCTTTTTTAATCCACTTTTTGTTGTCTCCTATAAAATAATATAATTAATAATTTCTGCAAATGACAAATATAAAATATTAAGATATAATTACCTTAAAATATTCTTCAACAATATTACACCAATCTTCTGGCAATTCAACTTCCCTCCTTGGTTTTTTTGATAGTAATTCCATATATTCAACAAGTGACAAAGATTTTGAAAACCCACTTCCTCCTTGAATATCCATTACATCATCATTTGTGCATCTATATATTGAGAAATATTAGTTATAAATTATAAAATATGTCTTAAGCAGCTCAAATACTTACGAAAATGGATTATTTTTTTGTGATTTCTTATATTTTATAAAATGTGGAATAAATTCCCCAAGGTGCTGCTTAATGTAAACTATTGAGTATTTATTATATGCATCAAAAAAATCAGCTATCAAACAAATACCTTGGATTCATCTAATTCCGCTAAACTTTTAGAAGACATTCTTAATATGTTCTCATCAATTGATATCGCTGGATTGTATGTGTTACTGACAAATTTATGAGGCGGAGTTTGAAATCCATCTGTACATTAAATAATTATGTCAAAGTTAGACGATCAAAGACCTAAATAAGAGCCAAAAATGGGACTTCTTACCATCCTGCGCAGTAATTTTTACCAATTCTTCGTTTCTAAAATAATGATACAAGCATTATTATAGGTTATACGTATTGTGAGTGTCACAGATATTTACACTGGTTATATAAAAAAGCATAGGATGGTTTATTTTTGTACTTGCCTATTTTGAGATCTTGTGTGCTTCT